GGCAGTTCAGAAAAGACGAAAATCAATCGGGCTACGTTTGCGCTACAACCGTAGATTTTTTAGTTGTCCGAATGAAGAGACCGTAGCTCATCTTCCTGCTTTTATACCTCAGAGGAACTGACTATATCGCTATCTGTGACGCGTTCAATAGCCGGAGAACGTGCTAGGTAAATATTGTGAATTCGCGTTTAACTCCATTCTAATTTTACAAACTCAGCGCGCAGCTACTTTTTTTTGTTGTTTATACTGATTTAGACAAGAAGAATGGTGTCTAAAAACTTACGAAAGCGGGCCTGTCTTATTCACGTTTCGTGATTGTTTCTTGGCGTCCTTATCCACTCAATACTATTGCCGCACAACCAGCAATAAAGCCCAAGATAAAAAAAAAGCTAGAGTTGGATTACAGGTGTTAGGGGTAATTCGTCCTATGTTGTTTGATTATTTATTTTCAAAACCTTCTTACGTTTAAATCTAAAGAGTACCTCCAGGCGGTCGATCACTTAAAGCGGTCCGAACGTGTTAATAATGCATCTGTGCGTACGTTTAGTAGATATTCGTGTCTCGTAAACTAATTAGATTAGTACGTTTGTTTCTGCTGCGCCTTATACATATAAAACCGCCGTTGAGGTTAGCAGGACACGCCTTTCATAATTTTTTTTTGTCCAAATGAGAACTTTTATTTTTTTGTTTGTTTTTTTCTCCTTAAGCGTTTGGTGAACACACTTCTGTAGCTGCAAAATAGAATTGTAATGTCTAACAAGAACAAGCTATTACATACCAAACCGTTTTGCCCAGGTTATGCTATAAATATCCGTCAGGATAAAAGCAATATGTGTACATGTAATTATATTTCGCTTCACCTGAAGTCCAGAAGCAGCGGACGCTACGAGCTGATGGGACAAAGCAGACAGCGTCAAATGGACACCATCATGGGGCTCGTCCTGTTTCTGTACACCCGCCGGCAATATGAAGGTGGACACCTTACTTGGTTTCTTGCCTGTTTTACGGCTCCCTAAAGCTATATTAACTCTCAACGTCTCAAATGGTACGTGGCTTGAAAGTCTAAACTTTGCGTTCTAGTCCTCTTCTGGCACAGAGCTTGTTCCAAAACTTGCAGGAGCGTCAAAAACAAGAAGAGGGCTGTTCACCTTCAAATCGCTCACGGGTGTACGTGTTCTATCATCGCTGAACCAATCCTAAGCAGAAAAGGCCCAGTGACTTGCGCTTTTCACGCTGCTCTTTTGGTCCCATTAGCTCGTAGCGGGGGCTGCGTCTGTACTTAAGCTGAAACCAGACTAGTGCCTATCTCAAATACTCTACTCAAGAGGGTGTATTTCAAATACTTTTTGAATTATCTTGGAATCTTGCAAATATTTTTTATCGAGAGTATTTGATACTCTGTTTTAATTACTTTTCGGAGTATCTTGTACTCATTATCTCAAATACGTTTTTGACATCCCGCCATTTTCCGAGTTTTTCGGTATGAAGTGATGTGGGCGAGGCACGAGCAAACGTGAACATTCTTTCGAGCAACCAAATCCTGTTGCTAACTCCGATTAGCTACTATGAGTTTGATTGAGCTCGTGAAAACACCGCTTTTTTGACGGTCGTAACTCATATTTCACCCCAAAGTTCGCACAAGGAAGGTTTTTCCCTCGCCTTCCCAAAGGCGCCTTTTGTTCCCTAGAGTTTCGCCCAAAAATCCTGAAACAAAAGGGGTGGTTTTACGGAAGTAAAGATTGCCACGCTGAGGCGCAACGCAGACCGGGAAATGACCTACGACAACAATGCAGACTTGAGTTGGAAGAAAATAACAAATAAAACAAAATGAGAAGTGGACACGCAAAAACAAAAAAATACATTTTTGTTTTACTAGTTGTATATTTGACCCCGTTACGGCAAAACGTCGAGGTTTTGTTTTGTTTCCTTTCTTTTTGTCGCCAGTCCGTCACTTATTGCTTTCGCGAACACTGTATGTAATTGAACATTGACAAGCAAAGAACAGGAGGGGAAATTAACTAAGAGCTGGATGTCCTCTCAAAATGCCAACAAAGCGTCCCTCAACGTTGGGTTCCTTCTGAACCCAACCTACTCGAAGAAGATGCGACCACTATTATGTGGGTTCTCTTTGTTATCCATCCACTCATATCCGTATCCCAAGTTCGTTTATAGTGAACTCCCCTAATAGGAAATATGAATTGTAGTTAAACGATGCGTCTAAGGTGCGCCGCAGGACGTGATATTAAGCGATGTCACTATTTGCGAGGCGCTCTGTCCCGTTTGTTGTCCCCACATCTCGGTGTTTACCCACCACAGGGCATTTGCACATGCCCACATGCCTTGTGAGAATGTTAATATTATCCACTTCAATATAGCGCGGGACACAGTGTAATGTAAATATACTAACAATAAACGAAGTGACGTTAAGTGGTTGATCTCTCCCGAAAGCAGTCGTCAGGGAATGCAAGCTTGACCCACTTCGGCTTTTTTTTTTTTGCTGAACTGGGCACCGTGCATGCTGCACTCTGCATTGTTCATGCAGGCCGGAGTGGTAACAAAAGAGCCCCTCCCCGAACTCACCGGAGAACACGAACACCAGCTGAACGCTGACGCCGCATTCGGTCATGTCACCAGAGCGCTGAGTCATTGTATTTGTTGTCCCCATTCGTGTAGTTCTAAAGTTAATCGCTTGGGGCGCCACGGTCTGATTTCCTTCCCATATTGGGGTATTTCCACGCGCGTTACCGAGCGAGCTCATGGCCGAATGGTTGCCGCGCTTCGCCCTCGAGTGGGGGCTTCGGGTTCGATTCCAGCTGGCGGACTCCTCTTTTATTTATTCTTTCAACTTGACATTCTCGAAAGTTCGAGAACCTTGTCGTCTGATCGAGGTACGAATGTTATACGAGCCGAACGTTCTACGCCCAATGTTCCAGAAACCCACGCGGGTACAAAGGTGCTCCGCGTGGCAATCCGGAGACAGTCTCGCCCCAGCGCTCGATCCTGCTCTTTCGCCAACATCAACGCCTGCGATGCTAGCCTTTCTCATATGTTTTGTTTTGGTCACAAGTTCTCCCCATTAAACGTTTAGTTTCTTCAGTTATTCGCCGCCTCATCATTTGTCATTCGCGACAATATCCTGCTCCTTATAGTTGAAATGCTTAAAAATGCATACTATGTTTTTTTGTTTTTTTTTCCGTTTTGTTTTGTTCCGTGCTAATAAACCATTCTGGTAAACCAGATTTGCGTAGCTGTATAATTGTCGTTGTCAATGACGTCGATACAGATTAAGCAATGCGGAAGTATCTTCAAAAATAACTCAATTACATTTCTAAGTATTTGTACTCTACTCAAGATACTTTACAGTGAAGGTAACTTGAGTAGTATTTTAAATACTTTATGAAGCAGGTACTTAACAACCTAACTTAATTTTATCGAGTATTTTGTCCAACACTGGCTGAAACTACGTATAATACGATATGGAGTAAAGTTCTGCCTTGGTCTAATGTCGTCAGCACGCAAATGAAAACAGTTTCAGTCCCGGCATCTCACCGAACGTGTCTCAGTTTTCTCCTCAAACCATGGCTGCAAAAGTCTGTTGGTGGACCTCTCGGCCGCGGTGCGAGTAGACATCAAAACGCAAAGAATGTTGTAAGCGTCTGAAACAGGAAATGAATTGCCTATAATCAGCTTATTTCAATGCTCTAATCTTCGAAGGTCTAAACTACACGACATTGTTAGCGCGAACACGGCACTTTTTCGCAGTTTACTCGGACATACTATTGATAGGCCCCTAGCTTTAGAAAACTTAGGTTACTGTTCTAAACGAAGACTTTTTGCAACACCAGCAGTTTTTTTATGGCAGCCATTTACTTTTAAGCTAAAATAAGTTCAGTTTTGTATAAAGTTCTGTATAAAGTTCAGTTTTGCATAGAGATACTGTGTAAATATATTGATTGACACTATACATGATATCATGGCGATTGGCCAACCTTCGGGGCGGAATGCAGGCCATGCGAAAATTGTCGCAAGCTGTCTTCAAGAGACTAAGGTACTTCCAGAACTAAACTAGAAGGTAGGGGTTTTCAAACGCTATGCACACAATTGTGTACACCAAGAAAACTGGCTTTTTTCAGCAAGCGGGTTCCATTCTGAGACATTTTGATGATTTTAACCGAATTATATACACTCGCTCTGGCAACTCTGTGTTTTGTGGCTCCATCTGCCGAATGCGGTGAGAAACATTGAAGAAAAAAGATGACATGGCAGCGAACGCATCTGCGACGGCAGGTAGGGATATTTTCATTTTTTTATTGCTAGTTCTCCCTTTCTTGGAGCCTAAATAAAATAACTACTCAATAACTCATTCTTTCAAAAGTACATTCTCTAAATTTAGACATCCGGAAGCTTCAAAACATTTCTCAGCGCCACAAATTGGGAATGGCCACAAACGTGTGCAAAGCGTCATGCTGGGACTGCATGCAGTTCGAGACTGAACCGCCGTGTTTTACCGTCCTTTTTCAGATATTCTTGCCGTGCCATGTACAATTTTCTACAAAAAGAAGTGTCATGAAACAACAAAACACTCTGCAGAGCAACTCCTGCAGATTATTGCTGCAGGGGAAGTTTCTGACGTCGGGGAAAGTGATGACGACGACGACGACGCTCTTGAAGAAGAAGGTGCCCGCGCAGAGCTTGCCCGTGATGTGCCTATTGATGCATCGGATGATGAAAACGTGCCGCAAAAGGATCCAGCTGAATATGACAGCGTTGCAGAGAACGTGAAAAAGAACATTTCGTGGAAGAAACAAAGTTTTCTTCCTCCATCTGACCTCCAGTTTACTGGGCCCACTGACGACCTTCCGGAGCTAGACGAGGCATACACGCCCTACACACACTTTTCTAGGTATGTGCCGGAATCAACTTTCGCATGCATTGCGAAATCCACGAACCTCTACAGTGTGCACACATCGCATGTCAACGTCAACACGACGCCCGACGAGATGAGGAAACTTTTCGGGATGCACATATTGATTGGAGTGATGTCTCTGCCTCATGTACGACTCTACTGGGACCGTCTGATGCGAGTACCAATGATCAGCGAAACAATGAGCGAGAAGAGATTCTTCAAACTAAGGAACAACCTTCATGCTACAGTTGATGAACCCAGCGACTGCCAAGACCGACTTTGGAAAGTGCGGCCTCTTTTGGACCAGATCAGAGCCCGCTGCTTGGAGCTGCAGCTGGAAGAAGAATGCTCAATCGACGAGCAAATGATACCATTCAAAGGTAACTTATCGATCAAGCAGTACGTGAAAGGGAAGCCGACACCATGGGGCATCAAGGTATTTGCACTGTGTGGAAGGAGTGGCATGCTCTACGATTTCATTGTTTACCAGGGAGAAAATACCATTCCAAACAGTCTCAAGAAGGACTATGGCCTTTGCTCAGGTGTGGTGCTCCATCTTGCAAAGCGAATCCCAACCGGCTGCAACTATCAGCTGTATTTTGACAATTACTTCACATCACTTCCACTGCTACGTCAACTAAAAAGAGACAAGATCTTAGCTGCAGGAACTGCAAGAACCAACAGGCTCTGCAAGTGCCCACTTGCACCTGCGCAGATCACAAAGAAAAAACCCAGAGGATACTCTGAAGAGTTCGTCACGCAAGACAATATTGTTGTCGTGTGTTGGAAAGACAACAACACAGTTACAGTGGCGTCAAACTTCGTTGGTGTGGGGACGACAAGTCAGGTGGAGAGATGGGACAAGAAGACCCGTGAGCATGTTTCTGTCACCCAGCCTGAAGTCATTGCCAAATATAACAAGAGCATGGGTGGTGTTGATAAGCTAGATTTCCTTCTCAGCTTGTACCGAACCAAGATCAGGTAAAAAAAATGGACACTGAGAGCTATCTTTCATTTCGTTGACGTGGCAGTGTGTAATTCATGGATTGAGTATCTCCGGGACCATGCTGCCACACCAAGGTCCAAGCTGCTTGACCTGATGCACTTCCGGCTAGCCGTTGCGGAGGCCCTCATTACATCGGTGCCTAACAAACGAAAGCGCGGAAGACCATCGCTTGAAGAACAGATGACACCTGAAGCTCCCCAACAGAAGAAGCCGCGAATTCATCGCCCGTGTGCAGATGCCCGCTACGACGGCGTAGACCACTGGCCAGAAGCCCGCGACCAGGTGGAGCCATCACGATGCAAACTGGAGAAGTGCAAAGGACGGTCAAGGGTGTTTTGCAGAAAGTGCCATCTGCCTCTTTGCCTAACGAAAGACCGCAATTGCTTCTATGCGTTCCACAACTGAGAAGATGACCATCTCAGAAGATGACCACAATGACGCTTTGTACACAATTGTGTACATACCTCTAACTTTTTACTTTTTCTTTTTTACTCTCGAAAACAGGTATGTTTGCTTTATGTAGGTGTCCTAAAACATTTTTTGAGAAAATAAATTTTTTTCTTTAAAAAATAGCGAGCGGCGTTTGAAAGGGTTAAAAGGGGGGGGGGGGGGGGTGTAACGATTTTCGGTCTTTGGTCAACAATTTGTGAAAGTTGCCCTTTGACACTTCTGGAGTAAAGAACAGAAAACCGATTTTGCGTTAGTGTCCTAGTTGTTGCGTAAAAAAAGACAAATATTGACATTTCTGATGCCCCTCAACTCACTCCTAGTCTTCAGGGTCGCACCTGGTCCCACTCCTAGTGACGTAATTCGGGGTGCCCTGTAGGTTCGCGAGTGCTCTCTCGGAGGACGCTTCCTCTTCCTCTTTCTGCTGACATTAGCGGGTGTTATGATGCAGCTTAAAGCCGAGCGAGGTCACGCAAGCTTCTCGCCGTTGTTCCTTCGGCTGCCACTCGCGGCTGCAGGTGGGGGGAAAAGCTCAACTTTTGCTTTGCAATTATGCAGCGTAATCGCGAAACTTTTTTAATGAAGGAGATGTTCTCTCTATCCTCCGGGACACGATAAACAACGTAAAAATGAAGAGATGCAAATTCTTTTAATCTTCAAAACGATACCCCCCTTTAAAGCATATTAAAGATTGTTGTGCGATGAACACGAGCCTGTGGTTTGTTCTTCAACCAAACGTATGGAACAATTTTTTCATGGTTCCAAATTTGTGCGATTTCTGCATAGTTGTTCATACATGTGTTCCCGCCGACGAGGTAGAGGGGCTTAGAGTGATAAACCGGGGTTTCAGTCTGCACTCGGAAGTGACCACCCAGGCCGCTGCGATTGTACGCAAATGTGGCTACTCGTCACGTGACCGAACTAAACCTGTGATGTCACAGGAAAGAAAAGATGGCAGCGGCCACGCAGCGGCTGGTCCCAGCTGGGACGGAGCATTGGCCGGAACTTGTCGAATGCACTGTTCGTGGTCGTTGGTCTCAGCGAGTTGATTTCAGATGCAGGAGCCGTCATATGAAGCCGGTCGAAGGCAGACTTGTGTCTATCTCAAATCCTCTACTCAAGATACTGTATTTCAAAAATTTTTTGAGGTATCTTGGTATCTTGCAAATTCTTTTGATCGAGAGTATTTGATACTCTGTTTTAAGTACATTTCTGAGTGTGTTGCACTCATTATCTCAAATACCTTTTTGATATTCCGCCATCTCCTTAGTTTTTCGGTATGAAGTTGCGTGGCCGTGGCACGAGCAAATGTGAATATTCTTTCGAGCAACCAAATCCTGTTGCTAACTCCGATTAGCTACAGTGAGTTTGATTGAGCTCGTGAAAACATCGCTTTTCTGCCGATCGTGACTCATATTTCAGCCCAAAGTTCGCACGATAAAGGTTCTCCCCTCGCCTTCTCAAAGGCGCCTTTTGTTTCCGCGAGTTTCCCCTGAAAAATCCTCAAACAAAAGGGCTGGTTTTACGGAAGTAAAGATTGCCACACTAAGGTGCAACGCAGACCGCGAAACAACCTGCGACAACAATGCAGACTTGAGTGCCAATACAATAGCAAATAGAAGAAAATGAGAAGTGGACACAGACACACACACAGACTAAGAACATTTTTGTCTTGCTTTTGGTATATTTGACCCCGCTACAGCAAAACGTCGAAGTTTTTTTTTTTTTGTTTCTTTTCTTTTTATCGTCCATCCATCACTTTTCGCTCTCGCGAACACTGTCTGTAAGCTAACATTGATAAGCAGAGAAAAGGACAGGAAACGAACTGTTTGCTGTCCTTTTCTCTCCGAATGCCAACAAAGAGTCCCCCAACGTTAAGTGCCTTTCGGAACCCAACCTACTTGGAAAAGGTGCAACCACTGCCGTGGCTATTATGTGGATTCTCTTTGTTATTCATTCACTCATATCCGTTTCCCTAGTTCGTTTATAGTGGACTTCCCGAATAGGGAATATGGATTGTAGTTAAGAGGATATAGCAGTATAATTTCATCTCCGATAGGAACCTTTCCAGAATCCAGATGGAACTGGGGAGGAAGCCTTTCCACTCACCTGCTTACGCGGTATTGGGCAAGAGATCGAACTATAGGGGGCGCTCTGACCCGTTTGTTTCCCCCCCACTCGGTGTTTACTCAACACAAGGCCTGTGCACATGCCAACAGGCCTTATGGGCACGGCCATGTCATCTTCTACAATAGAGCGCGGGGCACAGTTTAATGTAAAAAATACTAACAATCGACGAAGCGACGTTAAGTGCCGGATCTATCCTCAGAGAATGGGAGCTTGACCCACTTCGGCTTTTGTGCTAAGCTGGGATCGTGCATGCTGCATTGTTCATGCAGGCCGTTGTGGAAACAAAAGAGCCCCTCCTCCCCCTCGCCGGAGAACACGAACTCCAGCCGAACGCTGACGCCGCGTTCGGTTATGTCGGCCGAGCGCTGCGTCATTGTATTTGTTGTCCCCATCCGTGTAGTTGATAAGTTAACCGCTTGGGGCGTCACGGTCTGTCCTCCTCCCCAATAGTGCTACTTCCACATAAAAATAGAAAAAAAATCTTGTCTTTTTGTTCCGGTTATCAGCGGATGGCTTGATCCTGAAAGCCCCCCACTTAACCCACCCATCCCGTCCCTCCGCCCTGCAAGCTGTGAGAATGGGTTTGTGGGCCTCCGAGGCCACCGCGAAGGGGGCTCTTTGTTCCATTCTTACCGGATTAGGAAGAAAAAAACGCGGTTAGAGAACGCCCCTGTTGCAGATTGGAGAGAATTTGAGGCTCAGGAGAAAACGACCAGAAAGAAGATTGAAACGACATGAGCGGAACGAGGCGAACGACAGTCAGAAGCCGATCGAGACACTTCTGTGTATTAAAATCAAATACCTTTAACAATTTATAAGTAGACGTTTCGTCTCCTATGCGGGAGACATCGTTAGTGCTGCCTAAGAACAACCCGACTAGCTACCAGCAACTAGAGTCACTAATTAAGCTACGCTTTCAGGGTACCGCATTCCTTTTCTTTGAAAATTTGCCGACAACGCAGTCGTCCTATTCAACAATATTCTGGTTTGCTGCAGCATTATTGGACAGCGGCAGTCACGCGAGTCACTATCATCATCATCGCGTTTTTTCAACGCCACCATCTTGGGTCCAGCGATCCGCTGCCTGCTGCTGTTTTACTGTTTACTGCGGGCGCACGCTGAAGTCCGTCGCTCAGCACGCACTTTTTCCTTCTTATGTCGAGATGCAAACAACACGACCTTGATTCGCTGCCACAGCTGCGGCTACGGCAGCTGGCGCAGGCGATGTTTACATCTCGGCTTGGCTCAGCTACAGGCGCTCGTCCATCTCCGCGTGAACCCAAGATGGCGGCGCCTGACGCACTTCAGACTCGTAGTTTGAGAGTTTCGGTACTCTGAAAGCGTAGCTTCAATTAGTGACTCTATTGTTACCTAAAGCCCTTTGATGTTTTAAAAGTAGCGCAAGGTGCGTCGATGCACGAGACACTTGCAACGTGCAGCCCTTGGGAAAATCGTGGCGGCACAGCACACCACTCAGCTGCGCTGTGCCGCCAAGAAAACGTAGTTACCAAGAAAACGTAGTTACAGATGTTTTTTGTTTTTCTATTCTTCAGATCTAATAAATTTTGGAACATAACGTTAACTAAAAAAAAAATGATATACGCGAATATTTGTTCGTGATCTTAGTAACAATATTGTTCTAAATGAGGCATTATTTCAGGAAAAAAGGAACATTGTTGCCTTTCTTTCTCGCAACCTGTTTGTTTCAAGAAAAAAAAAAAAGCCACACTTGTCTTTTTATCTGGGTAAAGTCATGTTCCCATACTTGTGCACTCGATCTCCATTAAGGCCGGTTCAAACATACAGCGGAGCGCTAAGTTGGCGCTACGTGAGCGCTCGGCGGAGCGCTCATGTGGCGCTTCCTAGCGCGTGACGTAGCGCTCGGTTGGCGCTTCAGTAGCACTCTGTTAGCGCTTCAGAAGCGCTTTGTTAGCGCTCTCACTCTCCTTATACCGTGTATGCTGCTGCGGAATAGCGCGTGCACGGCGATTCCATCGTTGTTGTTTTTCCCTTGGCATTTAAAGAAGAGGAAGTAAAAGAGCCGCTCTCCAAGCAAAAGGTCCGGCAGGTGATCCAGAGTCATGGACTTTGAGCAACTAATTGACTGAGTACGACCACATCGCTTTCTATTCGATTCGTGACCCTGGTTTCAAAGACACGCAGTTAAAGAATAATCACCTTCAAAAGAGCTCTGTGTCTCGGTCCCTCAGCCCAGGAACAAGGTTCGGCGGGTACCCGTCAGTATCTCGGGCGAACGATTTCGCGCACCCAGAAGGCTCTTCTGGGCGTTAAGCCGTCCATACACATATACACTAATCGCGTATGTAAGAGCATTTGTCGCGTTTCTATTTCAGCGTCCCACATGTCCGCCATGGTGCTGCTGATGCACACCCAACCACATG